CTTTGAAATAAGAGATCATTTTATTACAACACACCTTACACATGCTGGAACTAAAAACTTTTTCAACCTTCCTCTATGTATTAGACAGATTAAATTTCTATTATATATATGTATTACTTCCATTTGTTCCATGTACATATGAAAAAAAATCTTTTTCAAAATTATGACAAAAATGTCCACCCCTTTGCATAATAATAAGTTCCGAACTTTCCAGTAACTTTACTTACACATAGGAAAACTATACCTCTTTAATACATATACAATAATTTTATATATTCCATGTGTGTAATTTTTATTTCACACATTGTCCGACTTATAAGCTTAATAACAGATATATTTCTATTATAGTTCTCCACATGCTGGACTCAAAACTTTTCAATTGTCCTCCTACGTGCTTATTGGGTTCCGTAACTTTGAAAATAATATTCAACCAATTGTCAACCAAACTTTTCAAACTATCGTCGAAAACACATATATAAGAATGCATGTAAATGACGTATATATATTAAAGATTAAAAATTACTTTTCAAGTGTAAAGAATTAATATCTATATATAGTGTTTTTAAATTGTAAATGTAAGGTGAATTAAACGAAAATTATAAACAATTAATAGGAGAGAGAACAAAAGATTAAAAAAAAGAAAAAAAAAGAAAAAATACGTATATTAATTGTCAGAAATATTATTTCATTCGTAAATGAATACGCATGTATTTGTTATGTTTGAATCGTAGTAGGAAATGAGCAATCGTGTGGTCTCTTGTGAATTGAAAGAGCTCTAGGAGTGCACGTGCCTTGGCACCAAGCATTTAGGGTTAAACATCGCTCAAGGGGTTTCGTGTACGCGTGACTACAAGTGCCACGTGCCACGTGCCACGTTTTAAGAAAATGCATCCTTAAATTCTATTACGATTAATAGAAAGACAAAGAAAAAAAAAAAGAAGAAAAGAAACAAACAGATTTAATTTTGTTCTCCTTATTGCCTATATAAAACAAATTGTTATTATTAAACAATTAAAAATTTTAACTAAATTTTTCTTATTTCTTGTTGCGTTTTTAATATTACGCACAATCTTTTGTTCAATGTTATTTTTATAATATTGAAAATAAATTGTAAATAATAATGATCAATTTGTTGTTTGTTTGTTAATTAAGTAATTTAATCTGTTTCAAAATTAAAAATTCGATTTATGTTAATGTTACAGAAAATTATGAGAAAGAAGAAGAGAGAGAGAGAGAGAAATTCTAACTTCAATAATCTAATCCATGCATCTCCTCTTACGTTGAGAAATTCGATACCGAATTCTATGGCACTGATTTAATCTTTGTTAAAACCGCGAAAGTTCGTGCACGGTGATGGGTTCCCTCTGTTCGCCCTCGAATATTCCGATATTTAGCCACGAATAGTTTCGAAACGTGTACTACCAAATATTCCAATAAACCGTGTCGTATTTCTAAGCTGTTTGAAATTCACGTTTGTCGAATACGAAATGTTGTTTGTCCTGAGACAAACTAGCTAGCTAGCTAGCTAGCTAGTTCATTAAACAAAAAATATCTCTTACGTTTCCATCAATTATTCATATTATCCATTTTTTTTTATTTTAATCTTCTATTTAAAAAAATAATTTGTTGTATATAATTATAATTAAATTTTTATATTTATATTTATATTTTTTTAAATGTTTATATAATAATATTTGGAATCGAGTCGAGGATATATATTCAAATTTGTTCCTGAATATTATTTTTATTTCCAATTACCGCTGATAGTATCTATTGTTATTGAAATGAATTCTCAAGAAGAGAAGGGAGTTATACTTTTGATCAAAATAAAATATTAAAGGATTACGAAAAATAGATATGCAACTCCGTTAAAATCGATTGTTGTCGATTTTAATTGAAGAGAATCTATCGTAAGAAAATGGATGAAAATATTGATGGAAAATGGAAAAATAATTGTATATAAGGAAGCTGGTGCACCGATTTTAAATCTAATTCAACGGTATCTAGAATAATTTCTGATCGCGTAACATAAAAGAAAATTCAGTATGGATGAAAAAGTTTGCGTATAAAAACACTTTTAAAATGAACAATTATTAAAGCAATAAAAATCTACACAGTTAACAATATAAGACCATATAAATACTATTTTAAATATCCAATACAATATATTCATAAATATACATATTTATGTTTTTTTTATACATATATATAAAAAAAGAAGATACCACAAAAGACAATCTTATTTTGCATACAAGAAACCTGTTTTTAAAAATTCCACCTTAGTCTAGATTATCCATTGAACGTTTGTCGTTTGTTTCCCTATCACGGTGGTTAAATCAAGTTGCTACTGTATATATATACATATTTATACATATATTTTTCTTTATACAAAAATTATTTCATACTGTTTCATATATGCTATACACTTGACAGTATACTAAAAGTTACACAAAATCGTATTAATATATCTTATGATTTATATTTTAATATAAATAATTTTCATTTAAAATAAAAATCATATATATACAATTTTTTCTCAATTTTCTTGACTTCTTTATCTATTGTTATAATTATCGGCGCATTATATTCTAAAGAGAATGATAATCGATAAAACACTTCTTTCTTGTTACAATATCTTTTAAAGAAAAAATGAATTTAGAATAAAAAAATTAATTTCACGTACGACATTTACTTTTTTCCTTTTTTACATGCGTTTAATCTTTCTATACTTTTTATCTCTTGTCTCTCTCTCTCTCGCTCACACTCTTCTTATCTATCTTTTTACTCTCTTCTCGCGTTTTCAAATTTTTTTTTGTTCATTACCTGCTTCCGAACACAACCAAATCGAAGATCACATATTTCCGCATGAACGCTTTCGACGGATTATATATCGCAAATTCCGTTTCTCCTGCATTAAGCCCTTTCGAAAGCATTTCGGAAATCGATTCGATGGCTTTTTAAATAGTTAATCGCATCAGAATTCCATTAGAACGAACGAGTCTATTCTTCGAACTGAAATATCACAAATGTGGACATCCTCACTGAATAAAATTACAACGTTGTATACGCGTATACTTGTAATGAAAAGAATAAAGAATAATAACATCTCGTAATAATCGTTTTTTAAAAGAAAAATTTCAAACATTTCGCATAAGGAAATAAGATTAAAAACTTTTTTGTTTTTTTTTTTTATAACAATCCGGGCTCGTAAAATTGAAAGTAAAAGAACTAGCATGAGATTAAAGTTTTTTTTAAACGTCTTTTGTATTTACAATATTCACGTATTATTATAAATATAAGCATAAATTATTTATAATTCTCGCTGAGAAAGAAAGAGAGAGAGAGAGAATCGATTGCATTTTTTCTATTAATAAATAAAAAATTGTGATAAAAGTAAATCTAAATAGATAGGTATACGCTGTAATAGTTAAAATAAATAAATAAGATGACGAAGGGAAAAAGAAAGGTAAAGATGTAATAAAATAAAATCAAATGTCAAATTACTTACTTCTAAACGTATTTCTTTAATTTACACAAGTAAAATAGTCAAATTACCGTAAAACATTTCTTCCCTTTTTTTCCGGTTATTTCTCAATAGGAAAATAAGTCCTAGTTATTTTCGAAACATGTTTCTATTTGTCTCTGTTTTCATTTGCTTTAAGGGGAGGAGCCAGTTGGATACTTGGGAAAACCATTGCCCACTTACAAACCGGCATCGCAATTGGTTCCTTTGGGTGGTGCTGCAAGGTTATTTTGCGAAGCTTATGTAGGTAGAATAAGACTACCTGATGCCAAGAATTCCGTGATCTGGTCGAAAACCAACAGCAACGTAACCTTACCAACTCATGGTAGGATAGCACAGTATCCGGTATCAAGGTGAGTCCCCCATTAAACACGAACCTCTCATATTTCAAATCAATTAACTCGAAAAAAGAAAAAAAAAGAAAAAAAAGTAAAACAAAATTGATAAAATAATAATTATACATCGTCGGATTCATAAAAATTGTTCTCATTTAGTAGCGTTTAAATTAACAAACTTGAATATCGATAATAATATTTTTTTTTTCTCTACAATTTTAAAATTAAACTTTTATCTGTTACCTATCATACGCGAACCATTCTTTATGAAAAATATAATTACAGTCACTAGCGTGAATATATTATTCGAGGATATAAATAAGAATAATAATAAAAAAATATATACAAAAATAAAATATCTCTCTCACCGTTAATAAATTTTACTTATATCATATTTAATGTCTATAAATATTAACAACAGTTAATATTACTTTTCTAATCATATAATTTCTAATAATATATCAAAGTTTATTTCCAAATGAAAAAATATAAATAAAACGCGCGTTGTCTCCGTGTATTTATATTTATATATATACTTATACTATATATGCATATCCTACATATGTAATATAGATACATAGATAGAGAAAAAAGAAAGAGAGAGAGAAAGAGAGAAAGAAAGTAAGACCTAAGGAAAATGTCTCGTATAAACAATCGTTTATTTTGCCTATCGTTCGAGCTGGAACTATCACTGAGAACGATTCAACGATACTTTAAAATGTAGGAGAATACGAAGAAGAAAACGGAGATTGCAAAGTTACGAGCTAGGAATAGAGAAAGAGAAAGAGAAAGACGTTAGGGTGGCATTTAGAGGTGCAGTATTGCCTCTATATGCCCTGGGCAATAATTCATACGTCCGAGACATACGAAGTTTCGGAGTAGCTAAACTCCTATCGAGTTTATGTAAGCGTGCGTGTGATATATATATATATATATATATATATATATATATACCTATTTCTATCTATCCATCTATTATATTTATGTATATGTATATGTATATATATATCATACTATCTCTCTCTCTTTATGTATATATTATATATGTATATCTATATCTGTATCTATCTATCTATGTATCTCTGTCTCTTTTCATTGCAACCAGGCTTGCCTACCTCAGCTTCCAACGAGTTTCCAACTCCAATCGTGAACGCTTTCGAACGGTTTATAAGCTCCTCCTTGCACTAGAGATATCGTTTCATAGACGTTCCAGTTTATATACTTCTACTTTGAGTATTAATTTTTGTTCATCGATCATTTTTCTATCATTTCTTTTTTTCTGTATCTTCAATTTTCTTCTTTCTTTCTTTTCTTTTTTTAATTATAAAAATATCAAAATTCAAGAAGACATTTATTTAAATTATAATTTTTGACAGAGACAGTGTTTTGTGTTAAAGTAACATTTTCCAATTTAAAATTCATTATTTTAATTGCACACCACGAAGAACAGGGAAGAGGATTCCTAATGTTAATAATAGATTTTATATGAAAAAAAAAAAACAAATTTATGGGGAAAAAAGAAATTAATTCAAGGATAATAGAAAAATGTTTATACCATTGTAATAATGTTTATAATTTTGTAATTGTTAATAAGAGACGGAAAGAAATATTCGCAGATACTGTTGCGTGATAGCATAATTTTGTGTGCATTACCCACGTGCTCGATGTCTCTTACGTCACTGTCGTAAACATTAACACAAGAGTTCTGTTGATGACATGGACTGACTGTTATATAAGGGGGATGTTACGAGAACATCGGTTCCGATGTAAAATCTAATTTCTACGTGTACAACATTTGGTGAGAGAAATCCTACACGTTCGCAACGTAATCTAACTATTATACTAATTAAGGTAAAACGTTAGATGCCACTTTAATACGTGGGGGAATTGAGAAGTTTATTAATTTTTCTGTTTAATTTATTGATTTGAAATCAACTTATTATTATAATACATAACTGGGAGGGGTGGAAGATGTTGCGATCTTATTAATTAACAAAATTCGAACAAGGTCCAATTTGTTTCCTATTTGAAAAACCTCTTTTCCTATTGTTGATAAAAAGTTACGTTAATAAATTCATGAATGATGGGGACGGGGGGGGACGGGAAAAAATAAATTAATTATCTCTTTTTCTACTTATTTATAAAAAGGAACAATGTGAAAATATCTTGCGAATTTTCGCATCTCTCTCTCTCTCTCTCTCTCTCTCTCTCTCTCTCTCTCTCTCTCGATTGTTTTTAAGCTTTCGTGAGAAAAAGTTGCGGACAATGCCAAAGTTTTTCTTTCTTTCTCTTTCCCTCTCGCTCGCTCACACACACACACACACACACACACACACACACACACACACAGAGTTGGAGAGTTACGAAAATAAAAATAAAAATGAATAAAAAAGAAAGGAAAGAAAAAAGAAAAGTATAAAAAGGAATAAAGAAGGAAGTTGTCGATCCAATGAGGTCAGAGATCGAGAACGCTCGAGTTGTGCGAGAAAAAAAAAGAAAGAGAGAGAGAGAGAGAGTTGTAGAAAGATAGAAAATTTATTTAAAAACTCGCTAAATTATACTGAAACTTCTCGGGCAGAAGTTTCACGTTGTTACGCAAAATTCCAACCACTGGAAGATGATGATGGACCATTTTTTATTTCCACTTATTTTCTCACTTTTATCTTTTTTCCTCGTTCTCGTTTTTCATCGACGTAAAATTTACTCAACTTAAATCTGATGGAAACGAAACAACGATGGAAAATATTTGTTAACGTAATCGAATGATTATGAACAAATTATTGAGACCTCCCCCCCCCTCCCCCCTCCTCCTCCCCATCCATACTCGTGTTCGCACATAAAATTAACTTGTGCAATTATTAAAGTATACAATCGTATTAAAGTATCAAAACATAAAATGTATAAAATTTTTTCTCATCCCACAACGATATATTAAATATATAATTATTAACTAAATCTATATTATATATATAAAGTGTTAACTATTGATCAAATACTGTAACCATAAAATTATACAAAAGTTCTAAAAGTTAAAATAAATTAATTCCTGTGTCTCGCGTTCATCTATGGATGCATACGTGGCGACTAAAATTACAGTCAACATTTTTGTTATAAAAAAAAAAAAAAAAAACAAAAGAATGACAGAATGAAAAAACTTTTGGTAAATTTTTCAAAATCTAACCGTAAATAAAATTCGCACGTATAATAAATACAATTGTTCACGTTAACCCTTTTTGAGTGGTGAATACTTTTAGGCTGAAATATTTTTGTAAGGATGAAATACTTTTCGATTACTAGCGTATTTTTGTGTTTCGTTGATTTATTTTATTAACTCTTCGCACATCTAATAATAAATTACGATTAATAATTAAAGTTTCTTTTTAATTTCTTATATAATTGCGAAATATGTGTCAAGATTCGAAACAATAATCAATACACAAATAAACGTAACATTATTTGCATTTATATTAACAAACACGTATTATGCGTAGTTGGAAATTTTTACCAAACGCATATATGCGTCCACCATCTCATTCAAAGGGTTAATCTGATAAAGAAAGAAACAAGCAAACAAACAAACAAACAAACAAACAAAGAGAAAGACATCCCTCGATGGCGGTCGTCGTTCCTCGAAGGGATAGGAAACAAATCGTTTCGATTCTTCTTTACCTCTGGAGAATCATTCTTAACTCAAGGATTCGAACGAAACGCACGCTTAGGGTCCGACGCAAACGATTAGCCTTTTTGCTGGTTGCAACGCGAACCATTATACGCGTAATAACGCCAGTAGAGGACAAACTTGTGCACTCCGGTAGCAGGAAAACACGAGAAAGAAAAGGACGCGGATAGAGAGAAAATGTGAGGATAGATAGATAAAGGACGGATGATAGATAAAGAAACTAACTAACAAAGATAGAAAAGCGATTTCTTACTGAGAACGAGAACTAACTTGAAAGAAAGAAAGAAAGGAAGAAAGAAAGAAAGAAAGAAAGAAGGAGAGAGAAGCAAAAGTTTCAAGCAAGAAAACACGCGGGAATCTTTCCGTGGTTCGTCATTACTCTAATGATACCTCTCCTATCTCTCTCTCTCTCTCTCTCTCTCTCTCTCTCTCTCTCTCTCTATTTCTTTCTCTTTCTTTCAATCTACTCAAGCAGTCGCTCCTTTTTCGAGAATCGCTTCGTGCTCCCCTTTTCTTATCCTTTCCGCAACTGTGACTCTCTACAACGTGTTTACTACGACTTTATAGTCAAACATTTTTATTTAAAAACATTATATTATTATATACTGTTCTTTTTTTGAAAAAATAATTTATTGTATAATATATAAAAATATGCACGGATCATATATTCGAATCTAAGATAAAGGTCGAACGAAACTACTACCATCGATTTTATTTTCTTTGTTTTTTTTTCTCTCTTGTTTATTTATATTTATAACTTTTATTATATAATATTATACTCTACCCGGTGTTTTAACAGGTTCGTTTTAAAGATGATGATGATAATGCTTTCGTATTATTTCTTGCATAATTTATCTGGAATATTTTTATATTGATTGGAATATATATTTATACAGGATATATTATAGAAGTTATTTATCTTGACGATAAATTTGTTTTATTAATAAATACATGTAATGATAAGGAGAAATATTTTGTATAAATTTATTTTAAAAATGATTATTTCTCTTTCTTTTTAGCCAAATTCGTAAAACTCCGTAAATATCATTCCATATATTTTTAACTTTTATTTTGTTCACCCTCCACCCCACCCTGCAAATCAATTAGACGCGAATTAATTATCGTACTTTATTAACGTAAATCGTAAAAATTCGTGTTAAACTTTTTAATGATTTTATTAACAAAATAATACGACAATGTAAACCATTAAATTAATACTATGATTCTTGCATGTCTCGCATGCTAGTACATTAAGCATAGATGAATTAAGTTTATGTAATACCCTACAATCTCTATATACATATTTTCATATATATATATATATAGATACATAATGCGT